CTCATAGCTGCGGAGTTTTGTTTTAAATTCCGCAAACTTGATTTCTGATTCACTTTGCGTAATGTTGAATTCTCCCAATTCTTTGAATCTTTGGGCTGAAGGAAGGACAATACTCGGTGTATAAATGCTCAATCAACAATCATTTATTTCCATACAATTCAACAATCAGAGCATTAAAGCGTCCGGACGGGAGAGATGTCTGCAGAGGGTCAGCAGCATGTCTCAAAATGGTGACGGGTTGCTCAGCTTTTTATAGTCTCTAGTGGCCCCCACCTAGTCGTAAAAGCCTAAGCATTACATTCTTTCTCTCTTACGGCGCCTAAGTTATGACCTCGGCTCCCTGTCTTTCTGCTCTTCTGAAAAGGAATGTGGTCTGTTTCTTCTATTATCTGCACAAGGTCCTCTGCACACAACATTCTCTTCATGATTCAGCAGTATGACATGTCAAGAAACAGTGTAACACATTCAACAGTGTTGAGTAATACAGGTCAATCCAATAGATCTAATGATTTTCACACTCTTTTAAGTCAGAAGTATAATGCAAACTAAAACTATATACTGATCACACACTCTATGTTAAAGGGTATAATATGATCTACAACAGTATCATACTTCAACTACTTTGATTACATATATAAGGTAACATATGATAACAGAATAATATCACAGTAATTTGAACAGAAAAAGGTTTAAATGCTTCTGGTAAACTTTTTAACACCATCACTAAGTGTCTCTCCAGCATTTCTCAGGGCTGTAATAAATGTCTCTGCGCGTATGATGTACTCCGTGACGCTCTCACTGCTTGCTTTCTTCAGAGAAGTCAGTTCAGTATAAAGGCTGATAATTCTTGGTTTACCTTTTCCCGCATAATAGTCTCTTAATTTTCAGTGCCTTGCGTCCATCATCGGCAGCTTCTCTCATCACGAGTGATAAACTCTTATCATCCAGGAACTGTATTAACTCTGCATAGGCATTCTTATCTTCGTCGTCCTCATCACTTTTCAATATTGTGTCTTTTAGACCTTGTAAACTAAGATATCCCAAAAATTTTGTCTCCCAAAGTTCATAATTCTTCTCATCTCCGTCAAAAACCAACCTTGCCCATCGGTCACTGGGTTCACCAGCACGCTTACTCATGGTGCTAACTTAGCATGCTAGTCCTCACCGAACACACTGTACTTTGCGACTTTTCTGGTGGTAAACTTTCCCCTGGCGTAGCTTCAATGTTTTCCTGGGCCCACAACCCGTTAGCAGAGATGGGTCTTCCAGCAGAATCTGCATGAATATTGAAGATACTTATATTGTCTAGACGGAGGAATAATCACACGTGGGGCATCGGCTTT